TATATATATATATGTTTTTAATTTGGTGTTTACTTGAAGGAGAATCTCACATATATATTAAAACAATTATATATATATATATATATATGTGTGTGTGTGTGTGTGTGTGTGTGTGTGTGTGTAGTTCTTAAAAATCATGCTTATTTTTTCCAGCATGTGAGAATGTGGTAATAGTTAATAAAACATATGGAATCTTGGAGAGTATAAATTATCCACATCCTTATTCTGCCAATCAGCGTTGCAACTGGACCATTCAAGCAACTACTGGCAACACTGTGAACTACACATTTCTAGCATTTGAATTGGAACATCACACGAATTGCTCCACTGATTATTTAGAGGTATGTATTTTGAAGCTCCATTAATCACTGCTTTTTCACATTAAGTCAAACTAAGATAAAAGTCATTATGATCTATGGAACCCTGCCTTGTATATCTGTGACATGCTGACCACCCTTCACATTTGAAGAGATGTGTTTCATGTCTCTTTCAATGCATCATCTTGATATTAAGGATATTTATTCTGCTAAATTATAGTTACAAAAAAAACTATGTTTTTACGTTTCAATGTAACTTCTAGACTGATTGACCTCATATAATTTAAATTATGCAGGAATAGAGGAATAACTTTTATGTTTTATTGGTTATTTTTGTGTTTTCTATTCATTGTTTCACTTTTTCTCTATTAATAGATCAGAAAATGTTTGGGTACCTTAAATTTATTTAGTACCTATGGTACTAAATGTGGTACTTTATTTAGTATCTGTGGTACTATGCATCATGACTTTGATTATTGTTTTCATTTTTAAATTTAAGTTCATTTTAGTTCATTTTCCTTTTTATAAAATGAACTTTGTTACAGTAATGACCACTAGTAACAGTCATCTAACGCTATGTAATGCTATGCAACAAAAGTTGCTCGAGTATTAATCAACCTAAAACATGAGGTGATCTATTTTTATAATAAGAAATTTGATATAAAAAGGATTTTTTGCTAACTTGAATATGTAACTTTTAGGGCTATAGATTAACAAGTTAGGAAGCTATTTAATTTTACTTACATTAATATTATAATTATACTTTCTTACATAAAATTGAACATTTTATATTAATTTAGAAATATTGGTTTCTCCTTCACACTTCATGAAATAATTTTATTCAAACTATTTATATATATTTGACATTTATTTTTCATCATTAATGAAATCTTATTTTGTGTCATCTCCTATATTATCTCTCTTTCTCTCTCTTTTTTTGGTGCTAGAAAGGACATGCATTTGCTAGAGAGAGTAAGAAAATAGAGAGGAGAATGTATCCTTCCTGGGGAATGAATACACTAAAGTATTTTTTCTCTCTCTTTTTATCTCTTTTTGGGGTTTTGGCATGCACATATACCCACCTGGAGTGTTTCTCAGGCTACTGGATCTGGAACTCAATCTATATAGTCAGCCATGTCAGCTCTGTCTGTCTTAACCACCAAACCACAGAACCAGTCCTTTAATACATCATCTCTATTTTATTTATATTGTCAATATATCATAGTTCTTGAATTCATGTGATGTCTTCACTAGAAATCGTTCCTGAAGTGACAGGTATTCACTCTGCTATTGTGCATTTCCCCCACCTTTCCCACCTATCCACAACACATGACTTAGTATAGCTCTTTTAAGGTTATCAGTGATTTTTAGAAGGCATGCTTGCAAAAACCACCAACATCCAGCACTTGCAACTCTGAGATCATATTTTCAGAAAACAAAACAAAACAAAATGTTCTTTGTTTATGAAAATAAAGGAGAATATCATTTATTTTGAGAGACTTTGTGAAGTCCTAAATATAAGGTGATTTTCTTGTTTCTTAGGGCTAATATTTTGGGTTAAAAAAACTTGCCTTGTATATGGAAAAACAAAATATTATAAAAATTATAGGCACAGGTTTAGACATTAGAAAGCTATACTTACCAGTGTTCTAAGAAAATATGACACAATATAAAACAAACTTACAAGCATGAACTTGACAGTGGTTTTAAATTCTACCCTCCTTGATTGACAGTTCAAATGATCATCACCAGCTTGCTAATGGCATATTTATCTCATTCCATTAACCTAAAGCAGCCATCTTTTTCTTCACATGGTGAGCTCTTGTTCACGGTTTAGAGAAGACAGAAGAGTTGCTTTCAAAACCCTTGTTTATACCATGAACACAGCAATCAATCATATCTATTTTTACAGTTTGTGCCTGTCCTTATGCCCTATTGGACTGTGGGCTTCTTGAAGGTGTGAGCTGTTTCCTACTAACTTTGTAACCCAGGCACTACTTATATGGCTGGAACTTTACAGAAGTTTAATATGTTTAGGTTAAATTAAATCTCACAGTCATATTTTAGCATTAGTCTACTGATAGATATTAATTAATGTGAAAGAACACAATTCCAAACTGGTCTTTTTGTATAGTCCCTGTATATTCAGTGTAATTCAGTAACTTTGACCACAAACCAAAACTCCTCACAACCTTGTAGATCACTGCATGTATTGCAATATGCTAAGAGCCATAATGGTGATTCGATCAAGTACCTTGGAGAAAGCTGCACAAAGGAGAAATCTTTTGAATTGAACTTTAAAGGAGGCTTTGGCAGAAAGAGTGTAGAGGAAATGAGACGAACCAT